GGCAGGAGCAGCAGAGCAGAGCGGCGCGGAGCCTGGTGGATTCCCCGCTCCGCCTCCCCGGGCTGAGGGGAGCGGCGCCCGCATGCGCCGGGCCCCTGCGTCAGCGAGCCGGCTCGTGACTGCCCTCCTCGCCCTCCTGGGCCTGGGGGCAACGGCTTGTGCCCGGGGAAAGTCACAGCCGTTCGTCCGTGGGGAAGAGCTGGGAGGGCAGCAGGTTTCTAACTCCATCGGAGTCTCTAGTTTTACCTTGTACTTAATGGAGTGAATTGCGCTGGCGCACCTCACACCACACGGCACTGCCCGTTGCCCTCGGGAGGAGCCCAGTCCCGCTGAAAATCAGCGCTGCACCTCGCCCTGCCTTTTGCCTGACTTAAAATCTGGGTCTCTGCTCACACCTGGCAGCTACACGTCAGCGCTGGCACCCCCCTGTCCAGGGGTGCGCACAGCTGCACCTGCGCACGGATGGGGGGCTGGCGTGCGGACACCAGCGTTTGTGTTGCTGTAGTTATTTGCCCCAGCAGCCCCACTCGTCTAATGTGCCAATCAATACCTGAATGGTGGTGGGGGTGGAAAGGAAAAATTAAAGTCAGGCCCACTGAGCTCGATCCATCCTTCTGTCTCTTCAAGCTGGTTCCCTCCAGTCATGTCTTCCGTGCCATGTTTCTTTGTGCGAGGAGACTGGGCAGCACTGGTTTCTGGCTCTGCCTGACGTGGTTTCCCAGCAGTGCTCTGTTTTGCTGGCAGCTCTGAGCCTGGCTGCTTGGTCCCTGAGAAACCCAGGGGGAGAAAAGACTGAAAAATCAGTTCCCTTCTCCTTCTCCAGGAGTTGGGGGTAGGGGGAGAATAATCCAGCATTTGATTATTTCGCCTGCATGAACTCTTCTCCATACTTTTTCCAAGAATGAGTAAAGTGTTTAAATCAGTCGCTGAAATGCATTAATACTATGGGCAGGTAAAATACTCTTTTGTTTGGGTTTTTTTTTTTTTTTTTTGAGGGATGAGAGCTGTTCAATCTTAGTTGGGCCCCTTTCATTAAAATAATTATTTTCCACCAGGTTCTGTCATACTACATTCAGAGATATTCACATGGCAGCTAAACAGCCCCTCTGCCGAGCTGTACAGAAGAAGTCATTTCTTCCATTACCAGTGTTTCATAATACAGGTAAAAGTTATTTTTGTCCTGAAACAGTTGACTAGCTGTCTTGTGGGATTCATTTCTTGGACAGGTGAAGTCAGCAAGACATCCCCTTGGTTCTGAAATCTTAAGTATTTGTGCAATACATGGGACAATTTAATGCAATGTTAGTTAAACCTGGTAAGTAGAGCTTGAAGTCAGGACATGCATATTGCGTTCCAGCCTGCATTGATTGCATCAGTAGATTACCAAACTAATCTAATGCTCAGTATAGCATCATCGCTTACATGCAGGATTTACTGTGCAGTAAATTAGGCTAATGCGCATCTTGCTAGTACCAAGAAATACAGGTACTAGATTAACTGCACATTAGTTACTGCGCAGTAGCACATGTATAGACAATGGCAGAATGCCATCTCTGTCTCTCCCCAAACTCTGCTATCAGGCTGATGCCTAATCTGACAATTTGGTTACCATGGTCACTGCAGAGGGTAGCTACCTCTGGCCCCATCGGCTTCAGGTAACCCTGAGTTGTAACCTGAGCTGGATACATTCCTGAGGGAGGGGGAAATCTGCTCCCTTTGCCTGCATGACTGCCCTCACACACCTGGGTGCGGGCTTAAACTCCCTATTGTTCTAAGCAATGGGAGGGGGCTAGAGACCCTGCCAGTCTACCTGGCAACCAGTGATGCATTTCAAATTGGTTGGCTGGCAGCCAACAGTTACTGGCCTTCATTGGATCAGGTAAACAAAATCATAAGGTCTGTGTAAGTTAAGGACTGCCCAGGGTGTGGGGTGGGGCGGCAGCCATGATGAGAACTCTCAGAGAAGCTGGACCTTCTGAAACTCGCTCTCTCCTTTGAAATTCATGGTCAATGAACTGCTTGCCTCCAGAGGGATTCTCCACCTGCCTCTGGATGATACTTGTGTGTAAGCTGCTTGAGATCTAACTAGATATATAGCTTGCAGTAACTCAGATGCATGGTCAAAAGGCTATCATGCCACTGTTTGCTCTAAGGTATTTCTATGATATTGCTCTACCCTGTACCCTATTCCAAACCTACTCCTGGTAACCAATAAAGTTTTCCTCTGTACCTGGCCTGGGAGACTTACTGGGAGAGGGTCTAGATTATGTCTTGCAGTCCCCTTGGTTCAGCTGACTAAAGGAGACCACTATTTGTGCTTCAGACTGAGGGAAGCACCCCAAGTTCTTGCAGTGAGTCAAGTACCCTCAAGGACTACTAGGCCTGTGTTTCCCAGGGGGCACGTGTCCAAGATCAGTCCAGACCCTGAGTGGTGGCAGCGTTACCCCCAGGCTTGCAGGTGTTCAGAAAGGGAGTTGGCTGGACATGAGGCATCCCCAGGGAGACACTTGGAGCCTGGAAGGTGGTTGGGCGCAGTGAGGTGGGTGGCTCAATGCAGGAGTACCCCCCACTGGCCTACCACACAGACGCTGACCAGGAGGGAGTGGGGAGCTCTCTGTCCCTGGTCCCAAGGCTGCTCAGCTCCCCGCAGGAACTGGGAGCTGAGCAGTGCTGGGACTGTGGACAGAAAGCTCCCCTATCGCTGTAGCAAGCAGAGCAAGGGGAGAGCTCAGGGCACTGCTGCTGCTTGGCCACAGGGCATCGCCCCAAACGAGTACCTCTGAGCCAGGCTGTGATCCTGAGCTCCACATGGCTGGGAGTTGTCCCCTCCTCTGGGACAGCTTCCTTCCCCTGCTCCCCGGAGCCCAGGCCTGACCCCTGGTGCCTCCTGCCAGCCTGGGGCTGTCACCAGGGGAGCCTGGAGCTCCCCTTGGCTGCTGCAGAGGGGCAGGAGCTGTCTTGGAATCAGTTGCTCCCAATGCGGGCGCACATGTAGACATATTCCTGGGCGCAGTTTACTGCACCTTATTTTAATGTGCAGTAACCTTAAAGTGCATGAATTGTACATGTAAATTCACGCAGTGTGAGCAAGCTATGTACACTGTGCCTCAGTTTCTCTGCAGGTATAATAGCAAATTATCTCAATTGCTGAGGTACACAGAATTTTAAAGATGCAAAGCAGTGTGTTTATGCTTTGCTGTGTCATTAACTTATTTAAAGTCCTTATCAGTGAAAGTTCACTGTGTCCAAGAGACCTCTTGCTACCCTGTGTCCTCTTCCAACAGCTGAGATCAGCGAGACTGGAACTGCTCTGCTGACTTCCCAAAAATATAACCTTGTAAGGATGCTAAAGGCACGTTGGCCATCCAGAGGTTGAGACTCTCACATCCTCTCCCCCAACAGGTGTCTGACCATTGTATATTCATTTATCTAATTTTGAGGAAGTTTGCACTTCATTTTGGTCTTCTCCTCTACCCAGTTCTCATTTCTTTTACCAGTTTTTTCTTAAGACACCATCAATTTTTACAAAAGACTGAATTGCTATAAGTGTTCAGCATTTGACAATTGTTTTGGAGGAAAATTACCATTATTACTTACACTTGCAGCTTAACTGTTACATACATTTATGAAACTGTTAAAAAGAAGGACAGTCTTTCATCTCTTTTCAGTCAGAAATACAAAGATCTCATTCTTTTAATGAGACAGAAGATTTAAGATATATTGTCGTACATGAAATTAGTTTGATCACGGTTCAGTTCCCAGGAGGAAAAGCACAGACCCACTGAAATGGGCCCTAACCTTTTAAAAGTTTTTAGAGAAGTAAGGAGGTCTGCGCCATGAAGGCTTGAGCTACCCTCTCACCGCTAGGCAGGGGTCAGAAACATTTGTGAAATGAGAGCAGAGCATTGCAGAGCTGTTTGGACTGTCACCAAGAAGGCTGTACTTGTTCGGGCAGATTATTTACTGTTCAGGTCTCTCAGTTCAGCACCTTTCACTAACACTAAATGCCTCATGCATACCAGATTCCTATTACCTCCAAAAGTCACCCGATACAAGTCATCTGGAAAAGCATAAGCCAGAACTCTAGTTTACTGGATCAACTCTTCCAGGATTTCAGAAGCTCAGTGCAAAACTTATTCAGCAGCCTTGGGGAGGGGGGTGGGGGTAAAAATCCCCTGTCCAGCAGCTGCACCTGCTGAATGCATTCAGCAACAACTCAGCCATGCTGTAGCAAAAGTCACTTTTTCCTTATGTATGCAGGTGCCTGTTGTATAGGACTAATCACAAATGGAGATGTTATTTAAATGAGTCTTTTAGTTTCCTGTGCAGCAATTTCTTCTTGATTTTGATTCTAAAGGGCCCCAACCTACCCAGCTGAAAAATCAGGGTTTTTTTTTTAAGTGACATTTAATTAAGCAGCTGTGACTGAAAAGCTCTAGTCATTGGGCCATTTGATGTGCTTATGCTAATATCCTTTCAAAGTCTCTCTGTTGTTTGCATTTAATAAATGATTTTGGAGTATGTGAAGAAAGCATCTACTGCCATGGTCAGGGAACTGAAGGAAGCAGTAGAACAGATACTCTGCATGTACTGCCACCTGCTGACCTTGAATAATAACAGATGCCAAGCACACTGGTTTAATTAATCAAGAACAACTTTGGTGTGAGGGAAAACACTTATCTTTTGTATTAGAAGGTCCCACATCAATATTACTGTATTTAGAAGTTTCAGTACACTAGAAGTTGAGGTGCTGTGGATTGCCTTTTTCTATAGAGCAGAGGTTCCCAAACTTTTTCTTATTGGAGATTTACCAGCTGCCCGTGTACCCCTACCAGCATACATTTTATATTTCAACCCCTTAAATGCCAGTTCTTATTATAATGAAAATTAAATCTGCCCTTACACAATTTCTCCTACATAGCCCTCGGATGTCTTGCGTACCCCCAGGGGGATACATGTACCAGAGTTTGGGAACCCCTGCTATAGAGCATTCTCAGTTGACACTATGCAGGTCCAGTGTTGACAATTTAGTCCTGTATTTTCACACTGAAGGCATTGTCCTTTCCCCTTGTAGTCACAGGGATTTTTTCCTCTTGGATGCCTGTGGATGGAGATGCAAGACAAAGAGATTGGGTTTTATGTGTCGCATCAGAGATGTTTCTGGCACATCGGCATTGCTCATTCCCATTCTGTTCTCTATTTCATGAATGCCCCTCCCCCACCCCCCCCCAAAACCAAAAAACCCCCAAACCCTGCAGACACATACATCAATGAAAATCATTGTCTGCATACCTTGTGATGATGTGAGTTAAAGTCAAATGGATTGTTACAGGTGCAGTAGCAGTTTGTTGCTTTATAAATAGCCTGATTTATATGAGGAGTTGTCAAAATTCATGTTTAGGAAGTGAAAATCTAAGTGCTTTTTGTTGCTTTAGTTATAAGAAAAATAATTTTCCTCTAAGTCCTGTGTTCTGCAAGTTAAATAAGACTTGCTTCCTAAAAGTAAACCTACTGACTTCATTGGAGTTTTTAAGGAGTATTATTTGCTGAGGGGGATGAACTGGTTTGAGATGGTAATAATTCATTGCATGATTAGTAATGCAGGGAAAGATGTGGGATTTTTATGATTAGAGAGTGAAAGTAGGGTTATGTAGTCAACTGTGCCTTCTACTTTCAGTGGGACATGGACATAGACATGGCCCTTAATCTTCATTTATCTCCTTTTCTCCACAGGTCTATCCTTTGAGATTGTTGGACAGAAGACACTGTAAAAGTGTCTAGTCATTATTTTTATTCCAGTTCAGTTAACTGAGCAAAACTCAATTGATATAACATTTAAGTAAATAAACTTAAAAAAGAGTTTGTCTTTACCAGGTGTTCGGAAATTTTGCTCAGACAAAATTTTTAAAGTCCAAAAGGTCTATGTCAGAGGACCTATGTCACTAAGCTGGTTAAGGAGAATTGTGTGTTTGCCTAGAGAAACAATGCAAATTAGTGGGTTATGGTGACCTCTTCTCCAGAAGAAAGTGCTGCCACTGCTCATTATCAGGTGATGTGTTCATTTCTACATATTCTTTGTCTGACATGCTCTTTTTTAAGAAAGCTAGGGATTGGGGTGGCGGGGATGGAAAATGAAGACATCCTTAATACTACAATGCTAGTTAGCAAAATTACTCATACCCAGCACCTAACTTCTTCTAAGCAGGAGGGGATGTGATGACACAGGGGTTCTCTGGTACCTCAGCACAGACTGGAATAAAAGCCTAGATAAGAGAGATAAGCAAGGACCACCAGCTTTGCCTCACTGGAGGGTATTTGCTCTGTGCAGACCTATACTGACCATATGAGCAGAAAATGAAATGGTGAAAAAGATGAGCAGGGGTACGGCTCTGCTGCTCTTTCATCTCTAAGACTGAATGTGTATTGATGTGGATTCTTGAATGGAACTTGCTACATCATATTTGTTAGGTATCAGCATTCATTGGTCTTTTGTTTTCAGCGACTCCCTGGTGGGGTAAATGAGCAAGATCTCTGACCTGAGTTCCTTAAGTTACTTATCTTTTGATCCCATTTTTTTCTGGCTTCCTTTCCAGTTAGATACATGTTTATTCAGACTCAGGACACTCCAAACCCAAACAGTGTGAAGTTTATTCCAGGGAAACAAGTGCTGGAGTCAAGGACCATGGAATTCTCAACACCAGCTGCAGCATTTTGCTCACCGTTAGCAAGGTACGTTCAAGCACATAAGGACTTGTTCAGTAGTCTCTGTATGGGCATTTTGAACAGAAACTGAAAAATGAAGGGCAGGTCAGCTGTATTTCTGGACTTGATGCTGCTTCTTTTGCACAGTAGCCAGAAGTCCTAGAAATGACCATTGCCCCAACTAATGTATTAAGGTTTCTATGCTGTGCACATCAACAGAGTAATTTGGTACCTTGTGATCTATTTCGTGATTCTGATTAGGCAATGTTTTGTTGCAGCCTCTGGTGCTGAGCCAGCCCAGTCTTGGTCATGTGAATAGCCCTCCCATAAGTCATGCATCTTCAGAGTGTAATGACACAGGTCTCCTATGGAAATAAACATCACACTGGAAGAAACATACTAGTTTCATCTCTTTTTGAGTCTCTGAACTTTTCAGGGCATTGCCTTTTTCTTTTTTTAAAACCTAGATGTGTTGTAAACAGGCCAGTGAACAGGTGAGAAGTTTTGTTTGGCATTTTCTTTTTCCCCGCCTTGGTCTTGTTCACGTGCAATCCTCTGTAAAGGCACGTAGGGCACAATGCATAAAAGATTTTTAGAGGTGCAGCGATATATTGATTCCATATTGGATTGGTACCAATAAAATTAAAATTAACATTATCGGCTATCAGGTTTTTTTTTGGCTGGGTAGCCAGTAATGTCATAGATAAATATAATTAATTATACCTTCTGGCTGGAGCCTGTGGATGCCACATGCAAGTGCACAGCTGCACGCACATGGCCAGGAATGCAGCCGGGCAGCTTGGAGAGCAGTGCCCTGTAGATAAGTCTGTGGAGGGGAAGGGGTGTGGGGGAGGGAAGGGACAGGGAGTGGGGGACAGATCAAGGCCCCCCACAGTGAGGGAGCGAGAGGGGCAGTGGCTGGAGGTGCTGCCCAGTCTGGGTGGTGAATGTGACCCAGGGCAGGGAGTAGGATGGAGCTGCGGGCGGCTCATCCAGGGGGTATGGGGGAGGGAGGGGAGAAAGTGCAGGAGATGTCGGAAGGGTGTGGGGGAGGGAAGGGACAGGGAGTGGGGGACAGATCAAGGCCCCCCACAGTGAGGGAGCGAGAGGGGCAGTGGCTGGAGGTGCTGCCCAGTCTGGGTGGTGAATGTGACCCAGGGCAGGGAGTAGGATGGAGCTGCGGGCGGCTCATCCAGGGGGTATGGGGGAGGGAGGGGAGAAAGTGCAGGAGATGTCGGAAGGGGGGGCAGCTTTGTGTGTGGGGCAGATGCAGGCTGCCCACTTCAGGCTCGGGGCCCCCTGGTCTGCTGCCTTTCACTTGGGAGCCTCATGCTGGCTGCACATCCCCTGTCCTCCTGGTGGCAGTGGGGTCAGCAAGTTGTGCCTTCCGCTGCTGGGTGGGCAGGGGATACATGGCCGATGCGGAGCTCCTGGGGCAAAGGCAGCAAAGTAGAGAGCCCTGAGCTCACAGCGGGCAGCCCGCATCCGCCCTTACCACACTAGGCTCCTTTCCAGTTAAAAGCGTTCCCACTCTTAAAAATGGTGGTAGCGGCACTTGAACTAAAGCTTATTTGGCAAGCTTTAGTTCAAGCGCCCCTGCTGCCATTTTTAAGCGCCGGGACGCTGATCCCCTGGACGAGACACCTGCTGCTCTGTCCCACTCCCCATCCTGGCTCTGGGTCCCATTTACTGCCCTGGCTGGGCAGCATCCCCTGCCGCACCCCCTTACTGTGGGGGCCTTGATCTGCCCCCCAATGCCTCTTCCCTCTTCCATGTTCCTTCTCATCCACAGACTTACCTGCAGGGTGCTGTTCTCCACGCTGTCCAGCTGCATTCCTGTAAATTGGTTATCAGATCGGTATCGGCTGATATGGCTGGTTAATAATCGGCTGTCGGTATCAGCCAAGAAAATCTTTATCCGTGTACCCCTAAAGAACTTTTATGCTGTGGTGCTGAATACAGCAAGTTGTGCAACCAGGGCCTGGGTAAACAAAAAGCGTCAAAGACCAGGCTGGGTCAAGAGATAGTTGACATCTCAGAGCATCACTGGAGATCTACAAGAGCTCTGGGTTGCCTAGATCTTTCTTCTTGCTTTGCCTACCTTAAAATAGGGGAAGTGGCTGGTCAGTTGTTACTAGCTAGCCAGCTGGGAATTCAGGATAAGGTGGAATCTCTTTGCTGTGGGGGGCTTAGACAGATCCTGTTCATTTACTGGTAGATGCAGTGGAGGTGGCAGACTTGGGGAAAATGTCACTCTGTAACGACTTATGTCCTGGGTTCAAGGCTTCCGTCCTGATACCTAGATTTCCTCCATAATGCATAAGAATTGGGTTCCTGAGACTGGGTTTTATAACTCTTGCCAGTGAGGCTTTAGGAATGGAGTAGAAGCTGTCTTTTCTGTTCCAGCATAACTGCTGAAGGATGAGGAGGAGCAGAAGATCACAATTCTCAGGTTTTGTAGTTCAATGCCTTTTGCTTCAGCTCAGGAACACACATGTTTCCAAGGAAATTACATCAACTAACAGGGCCAGCAGTGGAGAGAGTGTTTCACAGTTTAGGACGTGTTGGAGGGCTCTTGCATCCTCACTATGTTTTGTTAAGGAAATGTTTTCAGTCCACTAGTCTGCCAAGCAACATTTGACTGCTGTGGTAATTTAAACTATGCATAGCATACAAAGCTGTATTTTTAATGTTTGAAAATTTTCCTGTTATGTGTGTTGGAAAGCTCCTATTCTCAGTATTCCTCATCATCATGCACATATGCATCTGTGGGAGGGGTCTCATTCAGCTGTTGCCTTCCTCTCTGTCAGACATTTCTCCCTTTCATCTGTTTGAACTATTGGAAACACATTTTGTTTCTCTTTTCAGTAGGGTTACTACAATCTTTTGTGTAAAAATGCCTGATTTAGCTCCTGGCAGTTCTAAACAGAGCATTTTTTATCTTACCCAGCAAACAGATCCAAATGTAGTAAACTGTCTCACAATTTTTGCTTACAAGGCTGAGGCGATTAGAGTTAAATATCCTTTATTACTGATATGAGTGATACATTTTAAGATTAGATTTTATTTTTATTGTCTCAGTTGTGGATCTATGTACAACAATATTATAGATTCATGTCTTGGTTTACTACTATATTTATATTAATAGTGTTTTTATGTCGGTGAACTCTATGTTTAGTATAATATTTGTAGTTCAGTTACTTTGTTCAAACTTATTTATATTATGGTTGTATGTTTGTTATTTCAGCTTCGGGAGCATGGCATTTAGCCAGAATCCTTAATAAATTGAATTGAATCGAATTGATGTTATCCCATGGATGACGAGAGTCATTCAATCCATCATTTGAGAATTAAGGTTTTATAGATTTGAGCTGACTGCTTTCTGTGGCCATGAAGAGCAAATGCAAGTGTTTAAGGCAGCCTTTTAAACACTCATTCAGTTTGTCTAATTGAAACACTTTAAAACTGTGGTCTTGTTTCTTGTGGGGGTCACATAGTTCTGCTTAAACAAACCTGCAGGCTCTGCAGCTCTAGGTAAAAACAGAAGCATCTCCGCTATAGTGGAGTCCCTTGCTAGATTCTTTTAATGGCTTTTTAAAGTGATTATTTTGGTCTAGAATGTATAGTTATGGGAAAGCTGGAAAAAATCAATTGCAATTCATAAGCATCTTTCTGTAGGCATTTGTGCCTGCAGGCTTCATTTTTGTATGATTTAACTTTTTTTTGACAGACAGTTATTCAGGATTGAAGGAGTTAAAAGTGTCTTCTTTGGGCCTGACTTCATCACAATCACAAAGGTAAGCCAAAAAAAGAGAGATTTTCATGCTCTAGAATATGAACTGAGACTTGCAATCTGCAAGGAGAGATAAGGGAGCCAGAGACACCTTGCAGATTCTTCTCTGGCTTGCATAGCAAACGCTATAACCCTTAAAACGCCCTAAAAATATTCACTGCAGAGATGAAATTTATCTCAACTTAATCTCTGTACAAATTGAAGTATAATTACCATAAAGTTCTGAAGTGTGCTGCGTTCCAGCTAGAGCTGCTGAGAATTGCCTACTGGGTTAGAGTAATCAGAGCTGCTGAAGACCCCATGAACTGTTGTTTTAGGTGCTCAGCACATTTCAGTTGTTTTGTACAGTCCCAAAAGTTAGTAATTATCATTAGTAGCCCTTTTCATCCAGATCTGAATGAATGAAGCCTCACATTTTATAGATGGATGACTTGAGTCATAGGTTAAGCAAGTTGCCTGCACTCACATACTGAGTTAATTAGAGGTGCGCCGATATATTGGTCCATATGGTATCAGCACCAATAAAAGGAAAATTGACATTATTGGCAATTGGCTTTTTTTGGCTGATGTGGCTAATAATGTTGCTGATAAATGCTGCGTGCACGCATGCAGCCGCAGCACACATGTGGCCAGGAATGCAGCCCGGCAGCTTGGAGAGCAGTGTCTGGCCAGTAAGTCTGGGGGGAAGGGGTGTGGGGGGGGGAAGGGACATGGCAGGAGGCAGATTGAGGCTCCCACGATGAGGGAGTGAATGGGGCTGGGGCAGGGCGTGGGACAGAGCCGGCGATTCATCTGGAAGGGGTTGGGGGCAGCTCCTACCTCTGCGTGCACCCCCAGGGGAGGCATGGGGGCATGTGCTCTCTTGGATCTGTGCGCAGGGCAAAGGCGGGCTGCCTCAGCATGCTTGGGGCCAATGCCAGCCTCTTCCTGGTGGCTGTGCTCGGGGGCGAGGCAGGCAGTGGTGGCGCTGGGAGGGTGGCTATGGGGGGGAGGGTGTCTGTGGTGAATTTTGGGGTGGCTCTAGCCCCCCAGTAGTCTCCCTCCCAGTGCCACCCATCCCACCCTGTCCAGCTCGAGTGCAGCCACTAGGGAGAGGCTGGAGCAGCCCTGGCCCCAAGCACACAGCTGCAGCCCACCCTTGTGCATGCACAGATCGGGGGAGGGGGGGCACATGCCTCCCATGCCTGCCCTGGGAGTATGTGTAGCTCCCCCCAGATGAGCTGTCAGCTCCATCCCACACCCTGCTTCACCCCAGCTGTGCAACACTTGCCCCAGCCCCACTCCCTCCCTCACCACGGGGGCCTTGATCTCCAGCCCCACCCCACCCCCCTCCTTCCCCTAAACAGACTTACGAGCTGGACACTGCTCTCCCAGCTGCCCAGCTGAATATCAGCAATCGGATAGGTATCGGCCGATGTGGCTGGTCAGTAATCAGCCCTTGGTATCTACCCAGAAAATCTTTATTGGTGCACCCCAAGAGTTAATGATAGAACAAGAAATAGATCTGGGAAGTCCAGACTGGTAAAAATACATAGGTATTTGTTGTGACATGACAAGGGCACAAACTATTGTGAACAGAACCTATAATGTTTTGCTAGTGAACAAAATCCTTTCCTTTTGGAGCTGTAGAACAGGGGTTCCTAAACTGTGTTATACGTACTCCTGGAGGGTATGCAGGATAAATTGTGTAATGGCAAATTTAATTTTCATTATAATAATAATGGGCATTTAAGGGGGTTAAAATATAAAACGTATACTGGTTCGGGTATGTGGGCAGCTGGTAAATCTGGAAGCGGATCTGCAGTAAGAACAAGTTTGGGGACCTCTGCTCTAGAAGAAGCTCCATCAACTATTAAGGAGTAGTGAAGCTCATATTGTTCTAAGCTAGATACTAGAAAGCAACAAAATTGCACATACAGGCCCGTGCTACAAATGATGGTGGTCCATGTGAGTTTGAGCAAGCGCTTTATGCATTGCATTGTAGTTCCCCAGAGGTATAAACTATTGTACTGTTGTGAACACAGAGCTGCATCAGACAGACAAAGAGATGGAGCACTCTGTCATTTACTGGACAACAGATGGGATACCAATGTTGAATGCAACCAAAACAAAAACAGGTTCCAAAAGCAGTTTGTTTGTAGAGCAAAATCATAGCAAAACATCTGCAATTGTTATATTTTCTTTTCCTCTTAAGCTGCTTTGTTTTTTGCCTAGCAGTTGATGGGCAGGCCGTGTAAGGAAATACTTAAATCCAACCACAGGAACCGAGTTATTGATAATTTTAAATATAAACATGTCTATATCAGACTGGGCTTTCCATTAATACTCTGCAGGGTGTCTTCAAGATGCGAAAGAGCTTGGTGTAACATTTAACTTTATAATGAGACAAAAACTGTATATTTTTTTTTTCTTAAATTGTTTATAGGAGAGTGAAGTCCTGGACTGGAACTTACTGAAACCAGATATTTATGCAACTATAATGGATTTTTTTGCCTCTGGCTTACCTGTAGTTACTGAAGAGGCACCTCGTACAGACACAGGTAAATGAAGAACTGGTATGCCTTATGTGTTTATAGATCCTTGACTAATGGATTTGGTTTATTACATTCAGACTCCATGAAATTGCCTTACAAAGCAGCATGTGAGAAAAGAATAACTCAACTACATTAAGGAACTGAGATGTGAGACATTATGTGCCTACATTTAGAGGGTGTGCTGGTAGCCCATCTGTTGCCTTCAGTGGTTTCTTAAACCTGCTATCTAGAGAATTGCCTATAGCATCGCTTAAAAATATCACTTTCTATTTAAGTGATGTAGGAACATTGTGGGTGATGTTTTCGTTCCACTGAACAGATGTTCCTGAAACCTAAGATCTGTGATATTTAAGTCTTTGTGTGTGTGTCTGAAAGCCGAAGCCATTTCTGCTTTCAGGTATCCTCAGAAGAAAGTTTGAATACATTTAAAAAGACAGTACTAGGTTAAAAGCTTAAAGGCATCTAATTTCTTTCTCACATAACAATTTTACACTTACCAGGGACTTGTAAATATGTTTGTGATCCTTATGTGACCCATGTTGTAATTAGTAATAGCCGTGCCTGCTGACTGAGACTGACTTTTCAAATAAGCCAATGTTGTATAAATTTCAGTTGTTTGATTTTCACTTTATCTGCTAGTAAAATAGACCCCTTCTAAATGTGAGATTCCAATGGTCTTTTCCTCATTGTCTCTGTTGTTTTTTCTTTTAATATTCAAATTAACTTCATTATTTTAATCTGAAATAAAGAGGCCTTAAAATGTTTCTGTAAGGAAAAATAGCTGACTCGTAAGTGTACTACAGCTGGAAGCCTTAATCTTTTATTTTTTTCCTCTAGAGATGCTATTGGGAAGATGACTAAGGGAATTAGCCAGCCAAATAATGTCGGTTGTGATTTATTGTGAGGTGCTGAGGCTATTTTTGCATCTCTGTAGTTGATCTTGGACATAAATATTTTTGAAGAGCTTGTGCACAAAAGCCCTGAGAATCCTGCATTTTCCCTGCCCCTGTAGACTTTAACTCCATGGCTGATCCTGAAGAAAGTTACTTTGGGCCAGATGCAGGGGCCATGCAGATAAATTTGAGAGGGCCTAAGGTACTGTAACAAATGCTGTCAGGTTGTGGTTACCCACAAGTGCTTATCCCATGCTGCTAGTTGCTTTTTTCCTACTTCCTCAACATCTGAGGCAGCACCAGCCCTATGTGTCAAAGCCTTTTTCTGTACTGTAAGAGCAGTGCACTGCCATGATTTCTGTCAGTGAGGATTCCCAGGTGTAATGCACATGTTGTAATTTGAACCCATTTAGATTTAGCTCTGTCTTCAGCTTTCAGAATCATCACTGTGTATTGTCAGTCTGCCTTATTCAGACTTTTATCATGTAAACTGAAGATTATTCTGGCATGTATTGTGAATCATAAGAAGGGTCCGTCAGCATTTTGATTTGCACATTTTTCCCCCCTCAAGCTCCTTCGGAGGAAGATGACGAAGTTGTATTAATGATTAAGGAACTGCTGGATACTAGGATAAGGTAACTGCAAATGTTGCTGGTTTGAGTATTGTCACATAGCAGACCCTTGGGTGACATTGGGGAGGTGCAGGACTCTGTGTATTTGGCATTACACAAGGTAACAAAGCAGTATGGGCCTTTCGGTGCTGGCCCAATCTAAATAGTAAATAATAAAAATAACCTCGAAGATCTTTGCCTCTCTAGTACACATTCTGCACTGTTTTTTCTTTCATATACATTTGCTTTATTTCTTCCTTCTTGCTTTTCTTTTTTGAGTTTCAGAACCATGTAAGACTTTGTCTAGAAAGGGGAGGTTAAACTCCCCGTCATGTCAGACTGAGTATGAGCAAAAGTCGCAAGCACAAATCATTTGGTGGTCTAAGGTTCAGTGAATTTGTATCATTGCATTTTGCAGCTGGATCTGTGTTTTGACTTTCCTTGAATGTAGAATCAGGTGATTAATAATGCAGCCTTTAGAACAGGTATCAAACAGAGTGTGTGGTTTTTCTAGTGTTCTAGTATTTTTAGGTTCTTTTACTGCCTCAACTGAAAAGAATAAAAAAAAATGTGGATGTGGAGAAGTGCTTAATGGATCTCAAAAGTCCTGTCCTAAAGGACAACAGTCTCTCTCCCGAAACACAAGTCCCAAAAGCAGACGCTCAGTCATATCATGTGAAGTCATGGAGCTGATTTGAATTTGTCCTGAAGATGTAGTCTCTCAGGTTTTGTTGGGTTTTTTAGAAATAATTTCTAAAAATATTCCTTTCATAAATATTTTTAAAATACTGGGAGGATATCACAGAGCTGAAAGAGTGACAGTCAACTCATCGCTTAAAAATGGGGAAGATAAGCAGAAAGGAATTGGAAGATTTTATCTGAATGTAAGGAATACATGCATCTTTTATAATAATGGTTTGAAAGGCAGCATTAAATGAGCCCTGGTGTTGTCAAGTAGTCGCTTAAAACCCTGTGGTATGGTAGCTTGAACATTCACAGGTACATCTTTTATAATCACCATAATCTCTTTTAAAATGTAGTCCTATGTTCAGGAGGCGATTGAAGAGAACATTCACAGCAATATATCTTACTGCTTGTGTCGATATCATGACCAAATAGTTTCCAGGATCTGTGTGTAAGCCAGTGGCATGTACAGAGTATTCATTGTTTACACTGAAAAGTATACCCAAAGAAATTAAAAAGCCTAGGGGAAGGGGGGGAAAAAAAGAGATCTGAACTGTAGAGCAGCATGTTTTCAAATGACGGCAAACAAATTCTCAGTCATACACATTATGTTTATTGGTTTTCAGGAATTGAGGTGGCTGACTGGGCCAAGTTGCTGATGTTTATACATAGGATTCATTCATGTGCTGTTCCATTAGGAATGTAGTTCTCAAAAGAATTATTCTGGAAATTAGTATAAAGAGCTTCTGTTCAAGTGACTCAGTGATTTTTAGTTTGGCATCTGGAAAAGCATTGCTATGGGGATGCAGTTGTAATGTTGCTCATTCTTTGGTTGTGAAAAGAGACCAGGTTGGGAAAATGTTACTAGTACTAGGTGTCCTGTGAAGTGCTGAGTTCCTCCTCATCTTGCTGGATTAGACTCTTAAGGCATTTATAGATGTGAGGGAGTGGGGGTGCTTTAATTAGAGCAGCTCCGAGAGCAGCTGCCTTAATTAAAGCACCCAGCGCGTCCCTGTGCTGAAAAATGGCAGCAGGGGAGCTTTAACTAAAGCTCATTGAATGAGCTTTAGTTAAAGCACCCCTGTTGCCATTTTTCAGTGCAGAAACACTGATGCATGCAAGGCTGGAGTCCGCTGGATCGTGGTAATTACCATGCTCCAGCAGACTCAGTTAGTCTGCTCTGGATTAATTGAGTCTGCTCCAATGCACTGTAATTATAGCACGTCGGAGCACCCTCTCTGCATGTGTATAGGTACCCTTAAATACTCTGGGATTATCTTCCTTGCTGAATATATAAGAAACAACATGTATTCAAAACTGTCTAGAACATGAGTCGTCATTCCCTGTATTACTACATTCAGTTTGCCACAAGCTCTAATGTAGAGAAGACATTTTTCAGAAAGGAATATTCTACAGTTTTTCAAAGACTGCCTTAATGTTATGCAGGCAAATAGTTGTAGGGATGGTAACTAAAATCTATGCTGTCAGTGTGTCCTGAAAGGGGTGATGGTTTATCATGGGATTTATCTGTGGTTTCAGTGTCTTGGTAGCTAGTGTAGTATAATGAAATAGGATCCCTCAGTAGTTTTGCTGTTGTAAAATTCTAGGCGTGCCATTTTCAAACCCCACAGGCATCTAGGTCTCTATATTCATATGACTTTGCCAGTTACAAAGATGCTGCTCACTTACAAAACTGAACCTTGCTCTCTTCTTTTGCTAGGTATTTGCCATTAACTTTGGCTTACCAGCAGAATGCAGAATGCAAGTCTGCAAACTTAGCATTGGGTTGGATGGCTTTGGGGTTATAGAGGCTTTTTCTTCCATGTCACTGGCCCAGAGCAAGAGTTGCCTGAAGCTGTTAGTATCAGATGACTCATTGCTGCTACATGAAGTGCACTGGTATGAATCTGAGACCAGTACCCAGAGAACAAGCGTCTTCATTACTAGACGCATCAGAATTGCCAAATCTGCTCAGAGCATCTAAGGAACAAATGAGAATTGGAGACAGAAAGCTGATTTTTTCCAGGTCAGCAAAGAGGCATGTTAGCCTGGCACAATAAGAGGGAGCTGGCAATGCCATTGCATTCTGCACAGAGAGAAAAAAAAATGGTTACTTGAGCTGTCAATCTTTTAGGAGCGTTAAATAACTCTTAAACCAAGGGTGTCCAACCTTTTCAAATGTGGGACCAGATCACGAACTTTTTATCACCCAGTGGGCCGGTGAGCCATATTCAAAGACCTCACAGGAAGTGACCGTTGACACCAATGAAGTAGCAGGAAGTGACAATGAAATGGGTCGGCTTCGCACAGGAACTTACCCCGTGCCTCCGTCGTCCGCCCTGGCCTGGCCCCGAGGCGCCCCCAGCTCCACATGGGAACTTACCCCATGCCTCCGTCTGCCCCGGCCGGCCCCAAGGCGCCCCCAGCTCCACATGGGAACTTACCCCATGCCTCCGTCTGCCCCGGCCGGCCCCGAGGCGCCCCCAGCTCCATGTGGGAACTTACCTCGTGCCTCCGTCCACCATGCATGCGGGCAGGGCATGGGCCATGCTGCAGCTCTGCCGGCCACGTGCTGGGGGCAAGGGGTGGAACCCGGCCTCAGCTCGTCCAATCAAGCGTGGCTGGGGCAGCCCCGCTCTGTGCAGCCCTCGGGGCAGCTGTGGCAGGACCCGGCTCACTGATGAGCTGGGCCCCGCAGGGGTAAGCAGCTCCCTCCCCTCGCTGCCGGCAGGGGTCCATGGGCCGACCCTGCCTGCCTCGCCACCACGGCGACTCCGCAGGAGCCCTGCTGCCGCTGCTGCGGCTCCGCACTCCGCCACCGCAACTCCGCTGGCGCTGCGCTGTAGCTCTGTGCTCCGCTGCCGTGGCTCTGCGCTCCGTGGCGGCTCCACCACCACTGCCCCAGCTCTGCACTCTGCCGCCACGGCTCCGTGCTCCGTGGCAGGCCCGCCTGCGGCTCCACCGCCACGGGCCAGACAATGGTTTGGCTGGCCACATGTTGGACAAGCCTGTCTTAAACATTTCTAGAGCAAAAATTACTGATACATTTAATATTTTGTTTCCTCAGGCCAACAGTGCAGGAGGATGGCGGCGATGTCATATACAAAGGATTTGAAGATGGGATTGTGCAGCTAAAATTGCAGGGGTCATGCACGAGCTGTCCTAGTTCTATCATAACGCTGAAGAACGGAATACAGAACATGCTACAGTTCTATATTCCTGAAGTAGAAGGTGTGGAACAGGTACTTGCAGATAGGAGAACAGAAGGGCTTTAAAAAAAAAAAAATTAAACTGAGGCAATTTTACTTGACTAATTTAAATTACAATGTATGTCTATACCGCTATGATTAATGCAGAAATACCTGTAATACTAGGTATATTCATATCTTAAGAAAGTCATTTTCTGTCTCTCTCTAAATTTATGGAAGTAAAGTTTCACTTCTGTGCAGCCTAGATGATTTTAAAATGTCTCCATGCGTTCTGCAAAACGCATCCAAGGAGAGAGAACAGAATCTGACTCTGGGACCACAGATCAACCTAGAATGGGAAGATTTTTCCTAAATTACTGTATTGAGTAGGATGGAGAATAATTAAATTGAAACATGAGAACTCTGCCTTCTCCTGTATTGGCAAGGCAGTTCCAATTTGTGTTTGGATAAAATTAAAAAGCGTAATCCCTGTTTTCCCCTTTAGGTAGAATTGCATCTGTCTTTTTTTTCTTCATTTGTGCATGTATTATATAAACCCCACATTTGGTAATGTTTTTGGTCCGGTAACATTACACATGAAGTTAATTCGTTTTCCTTTTTGATGACACAATTCTAAATTGTTTAGTTCTAGTCCCAAAAACATGATGATTGGATTTTAAAACTGGGACTCCCTGAGCTGTTTTGTTTTTGTTAGTTAATGTTAGCTTTGTATTTTAGGGACCTTTTCCTCATAGGTTTTGGGTTTTTTATAACTTGGCTCAGTATGTTTTAAAATAAGCCTTTGTCCCCCAGAAAGCAAATTCAGGTGCATCTGGTACAGTTTAGCAGTTGTTCTAATTGCTTTCATAACCACTTGGCCAGCCCCTCAGGATTACATGGGATTCTTTCTTTTTCAATCAAGTCTGCTCATGTCATTTTGATGGAAGTGGCTTGTCCTTTTCATACGACCATCACTGTTCAGTGATGTAGTGTGAAGGCAGCTCCCACTGATTCCTAAGAAGTAAGCTGTAAAATCAGGTTAATAAAATCTAGTGCGTCTGAATAACAGATGTAACCTCAAGCATTTCTTAGGGTCCTGTGTCATCCTAGAGGAACAAAATTGAAAGTGTTCACCTTAGCAACTCTTGGGTTTTGGTTTCAGGTGGTTGATGATGATGAAGTGGAGAAAGGAGCAAACTCTACCTGAGTTGCAGCATCTTCCTGTGGGACTGTGTAAACTAGCCACATACCAAGGAACAACAACATTTCTCATTCTCTTCTTTAGAAAACAGTTGAACCTGGTCATTGAAAAAGTCTTCCATCATATAACAAAGATACTATGGCTGATCCAGTTACAAGGTCACTTTCAAAAGAGAGTATCTTTCTTCTTCTGCGAACTTTGTAACTGTCTATATGATTTCTTAAGAAACAAATGAAAGGCATTTAAAAGGATCATTTGTCTAGCTACTTCTGTTTCCTACCAAAGTCTCAAGACTAGGGATGAAAATCAGTTTTGCTCTTTAGCGCACGCATGTGTACGTGTGCACACACAATTGCTCTATCTGCCTTATGGGTTTTAAAATGATCTGCAGTCTTACAAGTCAGAGTTAAATATTATATATTATGAAGAAAATTACTTGTTTCATTGTTCTTGATCATTGAATTCTGACTGCAGTTGAACCTAATAATCAAAGGTTAAATTACAGAAGACACAGTATCGTTAAAACATAACAATATAGGTAAGTTTAGTGAGTTACTCACTTCCTCCCCAACACTACTCAAACAGCAGCAAGGAAAGCAAATATGATTAGTTATGGATCTGGACTATCTGCTAAGAAAATTATATCTTTAAAAAATTTGATTAGAAACTGCTACTTTGAACCCTTGATATCTGGAGACCCTAATGCACTCCTTGATAACTAAAATTATCCAGCAGATATTAGCACACTGTTTAAACTTGCAGGAAATTCCTTCTTCATATGTTTGAGCATCAAGAGGATCACGTTGTGCTTAGGGCAAAAAAATGACATAGGTAGTTTAGCAAAGAGAATAAGCGTGTTTACTTATTCTGTATCCTGTTTGTTCATTCTACAGCTGATTGTATAATTTGGCTGCTCTGGGTGAGGAAAACCATGGCAAAACCAACCATACCTCACCTGGTTTGAGAAACACTGAGATTATCAAAAAGGAAAATATTTATTGTTCTGAAATAGAACCCCATGACTCATGTGTTTGAACAGCAACACAGCCACCTATTATTTCTGTACATAGTGGCGCATAACCTGTTCCCAGTACCCAGCCTGAGTTGGTGGTTTTGGCTGTTTGGAATACAGGCTCTTTTCTGTGTTCCCACAACTGAGCGGCTGCATGCTCAGTACTTGGGCTTCTTGTAACAGTTTACAGTCTTTATTCTCCCCACAAGCAGGAGTTCGTTGTCTGTTGAACCTTTCTTCCTTCTCAGAGAGCTGTAGCCTTACACGAAGCTTTCACTGAGCGGGGAATGTGTACCCCTCGCCCAACTCTAAAATTCTGTCTCTTTATTGCTTAGTTTGCAGGAGAATTAGAGGAGATTTGTTGCAAGCAGAGCTTCCTCGGGAGGACAGGGTTTGAGGCAGACCTGAGGAAAGTGATCTTGTATGTTCATTATCCAGGAGCTGAGGTTTCTTTAGAAAAAATGAACATCTGATTTACTAATCCAGTTTTTTCAGAAACTAAGCATGTTCCTATGTATTGTTGAATGTCCAGGAGGGCATTCTAAGTATATGATGATATTGAGGACCAAATCTCCACTGGTGTAACTGCAGAGTCCCTAAGACCCTGTGAAGTAAGCCATCAGGAATATGGTCCATAGTGCACAAAAGCAGTGTGTGGTACAATGGACTTCATAATCTGTTCAGCTGCTGATAAATAAATATTTAACAGAACAGCTATTTGACTTCCCCAGTGATAGTACAGTGTTTTATAACTCAGACAGGATTTTGAGACTGGAATTATGGCATCTTTTTCCCCCTCACCCATTTAGTAAACAGCACCTGATCTTGATAATGTATTTATAACAAAAGTGTCCTTATGGCAGATGCATCTGCTTTGCCAGGGATCAGCTTGTGTGCACAGTAATACTTTCAGTCTCAAAATGGCTGCTTGTGTTCCGGTTTGTGAAAAATGGACTTGTTTTTTGGCTTAATTTGCAATTTTGTGTCCACCTCTATAAACTTCGAAGTACTCTGATGCAAAGCAGCAGCTGTGTTGCTGTGAGTTAAATAAAATGTGTGGCCTCTGTGCTCCGGGTGTTACAGTCAATATTTTTCAATTTTGTTAGGCAACATTAACCTAATTAATTTACAAGAAGGTTTCAGTTTTCCTTTGCTGTGAACATATCAGTGTTGACTACTGTGGGAACAGCTCCCATATCTCTCTGCTCTCACAGAAGTGCAAGATTGGAATTGGGACTTGAATATTTTGTACATAAAGCACCTTGTAGCTGAAGATTCAGAAAGATGTGTGAAATCCCTGTCTTGTGGTTGAAGCACTGGACTGGGATTCAAAAGATATGAATGTAAATTACAGCTGAGCCACAGATTTCTTGTGTGAGTTTGGGTATCTTGCACTCTGTCTCAGTTCGCTACCTGTGTAATGGATGTTTTGTTTTTCTCTCTGAATAAAAGTGAATCTGTGTAGGAAAACGGAGGCATTCAGGTGCTACTGTAATAAAAGTAAATATAATATTCTGTTGATCTTTGGATCATTGAGCATACAGAAAGGATGTTACTTGTCCAGTTCAGGCACCCAGTCAATAATAGACCTTGTACAGTACAGTCCTGATATATGCAGCACCCTAAATGAAATGGGAGCAAATGTTTTTGCAAAATTAACATCAAGCTGCAGTTTACAAATGAAATATACACTTGAAAAAATCAACCACCGTTAGATTTATGTAGAAAACTATATCAATGTTTTAATTGATAAAACCTTTAAGAAAAAAAATCTCACATGACAGCATAACAGTGACTGCATTACTAAGTACTGAACACACGCAGAACAAAGATACGTCTGCAAGAGGCTTATCTAAATTATACATTATCCATATCTTTATTGATCAGGAATACCTTCTGATTCACATGAGCTAAAAGTTGGTAAACTCAGTGATTCACGATTGAGAGTCTCAGTTTGGAGCTTCCAAGCTTTGCACAAAAGTAACGAGGGTCTTTAAAATGAGTCCTGCTGCTGAGACATTAACAATATTGTTGTTTGAAACCAGAAGATCAGCTTCCATAATGTGTCTGAGGCCTGCAGTAAGTACCATTTCAGTGCCACAGCTGAAAGTCTGTTAAGCAAGTGTTTCAGAGTCTGGAGTTTAAAAACATAAAAGTTGCCTTATATGACATGAATAGCATAATATATATATAAAATCAACGATCATGAATGAAAACTGATAAACACTCAAGGAAGCGTCTTACATGAATAACCTACACCAATGCTTTCAGTACTGTAAGAGCTGTCATTCTGACACCTTCACTTGCACTTATTTCAAAGATGTTCAGAGGCTTTCAAAACACTGCACAAGATTAAAAGAATCCACTTGTACGAACAAAGCTAATCCAGTTCTCTTTTTATAGAAAAGAAATTGATTACAGCTATCTAAATCCTCGCCATCTTGAAACTGTTCACAGGTAGAGACCTGCTTTTTATCAAAACGTGACTCGTTCCAAGCCTCTGGAACGAGTGTTTGTCATTTTACGTTTGATAATACTGCACTGCATGTTGGAAAACTCAGCAAACAAAACCCTCCGCAATAGGATTTACGAAGCAGGTATTTTCAGCACAGCAGTGGGAAGTAATACCTCCAATTACTTAACAGTAATTCAAAATATGTTTTTTCACAGGTTGTAAAATACCATTTTCCCCTCTCATCAGGTGGGTAGAAAACAATCTGCAGTTTAGGACTGTAGCCAAAATTTAGATTTCAAGAAAGATTAGTCCAATTGGGATTTATGCCTGTGACAGTCTTCATACTTTTAGTTTACAAAGAATGAATTTATCAAACAGGTAGGTAAACTATGATTCATTCTCATTTTTCCTTCTGATTATAGGTGCAGGTTATACCTAAACTAGACGCTGTACCACTCTACCAGCATATATATATGTGTTACCTTAAAGCAAAGAAAAACAAAAAACGTGTGACTTGTTGATAGACGCAATTAATCATCAGATTATGTATGATAACCATATAATTTTAGTTTTAGCACCAGAGCCCTCTTGGAACTTAAGTCACTGTGGGGCAACAAAAACACGAGACATGGAAATAAGGAAGCAGATGAATTGAGTCCACTTTACAGATTAGCTAATGAAAAAGAGATGGTGCCTTAACAGGAGTGAGTAATAAGAGTAACAATGGCCAGACTCTGCTGTATTCATGAGTAAGAGGAAAACGAAAGGAGAGTTTATTAGTTACCTGTTTTACTCATGCTATAGTGCTAGGTTACCAGATCACCCCACTGGGAAATTACTTCTTTTATGGTTATGAACTGCCCAGCCTTTTAATTTGCCCATGCTAGCCCAGATCACTGCCTTGCCAAACAGAACACCAGTTCTGTTATCCCTTAATTAAAGTCTGTTTCAAGTAGGGCCCTAGACCGGCAATGACAAAAATGAGGAAAAATCAAGGCCAAAGAGAAAAAAGGCTGAACTAGCTAATAGCTTGATTGAAACATGCTGAAAAACCTCATAAAGAAATATGCCACTTTACTTGGATTGCTAGGGGCACCTGAACTGATGAATGAAAATGTAAGGTACATGCTCTTTATGCAGTCTGTAACAAGTTAACGTTTCCTAAGTCAGTGTCCCTCCCGTGAGGACCGAGTTAGGACCGAGTCTCACTCCTCATACGCTTGGTGCAGTCAAATAAAGCTTCAAATCAAACACTGGCCCTGAAACTTTAAAAGCATTGTGGGAACCTTCCTTTGCTTTTGAGCTTAATAGCAAAGCTCATCTTACAACCTACAAATGTTAGAATCAATTAAAGTCCCCAGCGTCCTTTTCAAGAGCGGCTTTTACAGCCTTGTGCCGCTGGAGTCCTCGGTTCACCAGACCAGCTTGCTTACGTACATCAACGCAGCTAACTGGGTAGGCATCTCAAGTTTCTTGTTGCCCTTAGTATTTTTTTAAGTGTGCAAGATGCATTCAATTCTGCCTGCATACAGTATGTCCTGTTCAGCTTTCTCGTCCAGCTGACATAATACTAGTAATAATACATTTATTTTACTATTCATTGATAGCGAATCATAAGGAAGGCTAATGAAGGTGAATCCAGCTGTGATCCTCAGTGGCAGTGGGAGCATGACCTTCCTCTAGTCCAGACAGACTTAAAAAGGAACAACCCCTAAAGCCTACTGCTGCTAGAGCTACCCTGCTTCCATGACGACTCGGCGAGCGGCAATAGGCCTTCCAAGCTGGGGCGGGGCGGGCCCCCTGCGCATGCGCGCACTCGTGTTCTGCTGCCACGTCCCGGCCCGGCGCGCTGGCTCGGGCCACGCCGGCAAAGCGGCGCCCAATGAGCGGCCGGGCCTAGCGCCTGCGCAGTGCCGCCTCCGACCTGAGCGGCCCCGCCGGGGGCTGTGCGTATGTGTGCGGGCGGGCGGGCTGCCTCAGGCCTGGGGGGGTGTCCCTGCTCCCTGGACATGCGTGTGCGGGCGTCCGCGTGTGTGCACGTGCGTGTGGGTGGGTGCACGCATCCCTGTGTGCCCTTGTGCTTCTGTGTTCCTGTGTATGTATGAGTACGTGCGTGCGCATATACATCCCTGTGCATGTCTGCGGGCATCCCTGTGTGTACACTTGTACATGTATCCTTGCATATGCGTGTGTTTAGACGTGTGCAGTGACTCTCCCCCTGCGTGTGGGCAGAGTCCTGGGTGCTGCATTTGTGTGCACCTCGGCGGCATCTGGCTGATCCTTTGCTGGAAGGTGGTGTCCACGCCAGTCTCGGTGAGGACTGTGGGGCATATCACCCAGGCTTGCTTTGATCCACTGTTTCTAGAAGACCTGATTCCCACGGGTCTGTGTGTCAAGTGGATGCTGCTAATTTTGATATAGAAATGAATTGGTATTAAAAACAAAAAATCCGTGAATGTTCTTAGTTTATTCCAAGGTGGGAAGGCGTGTCTGTTACAGGGATGCAATGCAGGCATGCAGCTTCCTGCCAGGTCAGAAATCGGCGGCGTCTGGCTGGCAGTTGCATGTTGGTGAGAAGCCTTGTACAAGTGTCACTGACGTGTCAAGCATCCGAGGTGGGGTGCAGTCCTGCAGGTACCGGCCCCAGAGGTTTCATCCTATGGCCCTCTGGTGACGCTGGCCATTTGTAACATTGGGTCTGGTTGTACCCAGAGAGATGCTTCTCCAATTTTCTCTCCCTGGGCTTAGGGTGCAGTTAACTGAAGTGATTTAGGAGCCCACAGGAATTATTGGTAAGGGATAACTGATTCTGGATGGTGTTTTCTAAGCATCCAAGATCTGTCCAAACTGCACGGTGACCACTTCTTTAGCTAAAGTCGTAACTTTTTTAAGTAGTAGAGACTAATGTGGATGGTTTTTATGGTGATTTAAATGTCCCTTCTGCAGCTTGCCAACTTGAACCAGTGTAAGCCAAGTTTTAAAACGTTTTTAGGTTGTCCACAAAGGGCTTTGTAATAGTCAGCTAAAGAAGTGTTTAAACTGGTGAGGCTTTTGGTGAGGGATGTGCACAAATCAGTGTAGCTTGTGATGCCACTTAGATGCTTTGAAAAATGTTGCCTGTGGCCTGGTTTCCCTTACTGATAAAATCCAGGGATGTCTTGTCGTATCTGGTGTACCAGGCACAGGAATAAAGCCAAAAAATGTCCCTGTGTTCCACTTTCTCTTTTGTCAGATTGGTTGTACGGTTGCTCCTCCTTTTAAGATTTGAGCTGTATGTGTTTTGCCTCCCAAGTTTCCACCTTTGAAGGTTTTCTTTTTATTTGTGAATACGACTTTGTCCTTGAGTTCAAATAGAAAATCTATTTTTTTAAAATCTGCCTTGCATGTCTCTGCCACTTCCTCGCCTCTTTGGGATTAGCTGGAACGTTTTATTAAGTGTCATAACAAAGCTTTCTGTAACTGATGGGCCCAAATACTGTCACATGAGAGTGACCCTTGAATTATAGCATGTTAGGAAAAAGGACACAATAATTGGTACACTCTCATGGACCCAGCGAAACAGACTTCCACCTTCAGCTTCCTCTGAACCTGAGGAAGGGTGCGTCTTGAAAGC